ATCACGCACAATTCAGAAAGAATGTGCATAATAATCGAATCAACTGATGCACATTAATATTTTCAGCAAAAACCTACTGAAATTATCGTGCAAAACACAAATAACATAAGGGGACTCAATCAAATCTCACTTTTTAATGACAAGTAAACAGCAAATATTTCAGTATGACACCATAATTGTGCTAATGGCTGTAAGAATTGAAAAATCGGTTGAGCAGTGAAGTTTTTAATGTCTACATATCAGTGCCAATTCAATCAGCTATTCAAAATACAATAATAAAAAATAATTTGAAGTTAATCGGTCGAAATGAATATTGTCCACGATCAGATTATCGTCAGCTTTAGCTCAAAATAGCCGATTCAACTATTAATATCATCAACAATTTGGTGAAGGGAAGATAACTTTGAATGTGATGATTAAGGTTTTAAAGATGATTTTTAATGTTGTTAACTCCATTTTGCCTTTACAAAAAGACTCTCTCGATCTATTTATACCATATAAGTGGTGCCAGTCAGTATCAATAAATCATCTCTTTATGTTCCCATATCATCAACTCATCACCCCATCATTATTATCCTCATAGTACCTAAGGCATCCATCTCTGATATCTACTAAATTCGGCCCTTTGATCGAGTCTTTTCATCACGACATATCTTCAAACGCAAACAAAAAAACAATAGTAATTTTCAGTCCACTTCGGAAATCTTGTTCCATATCGTTGAAAATCTCGGAATGTTCACTTTCGGCCCTTTTGTAGAAGGCAAATGGACAAGTGCGGTATTATCCATGTGACTGGTTGTAAAAATTATTATGATACTTTCAATTATGCACAGCACGAACTGCGAACATTCGTAAAGTTGCTGTTTTATTTTGCTTGGAATTCCACATATTCTGGTTTGTGTTTTCTATAGTATCTCTTCAGACAATCAACGAGACGATTCACTGATGAATACAAGTTAAAAGCGTTTGATTGTGCGATTCTAATGAAGAGTATTGTCGAAGTAATGGAAGAGACTTGAAGTTCGTTAATTAGCAA